AGGGGCAGCCACAGCTTCTCTGGGCAACCTGTGCCAGGGCCTTCCCACCCTCCCAGCCAACAATTCCTTCCCAATATCCCATCTATCCCTGCCCTCTGGCACTGGGAAGCCATTCCCTGTGTCCTGTCCCTCCATCCCTTGTCCCCAGTCCCTCTCCAGCTCTCCTGGAGCCCCTTTAGGCCCTGGAAAAAGCTCTCAGGTCTCCTTGGAAGCATTTGAGGTGGGGGAACTGTAGAGGGAAGTCTTGGATGACCAGTGGATTTGGGGGATGAAGGGGGCTCTTGGCAGTCCATTAATTTTGGAGGAGAAAGGAAGAGAAGGAGAGGGCAAAGCAAGTCCTGCAGGGAAAGTTTGTGTCTAAAGCCATTTGGGAATGGGTGGATTTTCATGGCTGGCAGAGGGATCTCTGAGGCTGCTCAGGAGAAGGCAGGGCAGGGGATGGAGGTGGACCAGGCTCTCGCTCCAGATCGTTTTCCAACACTGCTCTCTCTCTGTGCAGCTGGTTTTTTTTCTCTGGTTCCATCGTAACACAGTTGCTTTCCAAGAGAAAATATGGGGAAAAAAAGCTTCTTTAAAGCTACTGATGCTCAAATCAGGCCTTTTAAACTTATTTCAGGCCGGTTTAAGCTGAGTAAACCCAACAGATAGATCTTGTCTTGGCTTTACCCCCGGGGCCCTTCCAGCAGGTGATGGACTGCAGCAGGCACTGCCTTTTATTTCTCCACCAGTGCTTCCAGGGGGTGTTAGTGCAGGGAGGGAAATGGATTTCCTGAGTGGTTTTATGGCTTTTTTGGGTATTTGCTGCCTCCTTGTGACAGTACAAAGACGTGTGGTGCTGTTCCTGTGAAATACAGGGCACTGCGGGGAAGGTTTTAGGAGGAGTTTTTATTGGTCTTTAATTGTTAACCCCTCTCTGTGTTTTCCTCAGAAAATCTTGGCTGTGGTGCCAGAAGGGAGGCAGGAAAGGGAAACCCCTGGAAGGCTCTGGCACGCCCAGACTTGGGCGGTGTTGAATTTTGGAAAAGGGATTTCATGTAGGGATAAAGTTCCTCTTAGTTCTCCACTCCGGCTTTTTTTCCCCTGAGGGTGTAAATCACGTGGAGACACCGTGGGGATGTGGCACTTGGGGACATGGGGCAGTGGTGGCCTTGGCAGTGCTGGGGAATGGTTGGATTGGATGATCTCAGAGGGCTTTTCCAACCTAAAGGATTCCATAGGACTGATGAAACACCCCCCCCCCTTTCTCCTCTGCCCTTGGGACTTCCATCTCCTTTCCCCAAATAAAGGTGTATTGAGGATTCAGACATGGACAAACCACAGGAGCTGCCAGTGAGCAGCACCAAATTCACAGAATCATGGAATGGTTTGGGTTGGAAGGGACCTTAAAGACCAAATATTCCAACTCCCTACCATGGGCAGGGACACCTTCCACTAGCCCAGGTTGCTCCAACCTGGCCTTGGACACTTCCAGGGATCCAGGGGCAGCCACAGCTTCTCTGCCCAACCTGGGACAGGGCCTCCCCACCCTCCCAGCCAGGAATTCCTTCCCAATTCCCATCTAACCCTGCCTTTTTGCAGTGGGAAGCCATTCCCTGTGTCCTGTCCCTCCATCCCTTATCCCAAGTCCCTCTCCAGCTCTCCTGGTGCTCCTGTAGGTTTGAAAGCTCTCCCTGGAACCTTCTCTCCTCCAGGCTGAACGCCCCAGCTCTCTCGTTAGCAGTTCTTCAGGTAATTTTACATTAGTGCCAAAAATATTATGCCTGATATTAGGAATTATTTGAGTTTGGAGAGAGGTTTGTCCCATCCCCCTTGTGGCAAATAATTTGGCTTCTATTTCCCTAAAATCCCAGGAAGTCCTAGCACAAGTAGGAGGATTCATGCTGTGACAAATGATCTGTAAATCTGATTATTGCAGCTAAACAAGAGGTGTTCCTTCAGTTGGTTTCTTGCTGGATTCCAGAAGAAAAGAAATTTCTGCAGAATTTCCCCCTGGGTTGGTGATAGTGATTTTCCTTGGGGAGATGTGAAATTCAGGTTGGTTTTAATGAGTTCAGAGCATTTGTAGATCAAAGAGTGGAGCCTTAAATGACTTTATTGTTGCACTTAAATGCTTCAGGTGAAGTTAGGTCTTAGTAGACTGAGAGGTAACTGGACCCATTTTTGTCCCAAACTGTTCTCTTGAAGTTTAATCTCAAGTTGAAATGCTTTATCCTGAGGTGAATCTTCTCTCTGGAGTCAGGAGGTGAAGGCAGTTGCCTGGCAGGGCTTGGCTTTGGCACCTGTTCTGGGCACTCCTGCAGATGTTTTGAATGTGTTTATTTGCTGTGGTTCAATTAAATCCAGAGCCAGGAACACTTTTCCCTCCACTGCCTTGGAAGTTTGTATTTCCACCTTCCATTTGTATAAGAACATTAAATTGTTACTGAAAACGAAGCAGAGCCAAGATCGAGCTCATGTCTGAGCTGGGCTGGGTTTGCAGGGATACAGTTTGGATTTTTTGCTCTTCAGGGAGCATTTGGGTTTCCTGAGGGAAAAGAGACCTTAAAAGAAGGAAAAACAAAAACTTCACAAAGCCATGAAGTGTGGTGGCTGTGGGAAGCTAATGGGAATTTAACTCTCTATCCCTGGATGTGTTCAAGGCTGGGTTGGATGGAGTTTGGAGCAACCTGGGCTAGTGGAAGGTTTCCCTGCCCATGGCAGGGGGTGGAATGAGATGGTCTTTAAGGACCTTTCCAACCCAAACCATTCTAGGATTCTGTGAGTCCCAAGACAAACACATGGAAAAATTTTTCTAGTCCATCATTCAAGTGTGGGATGAGTGAAAATCCATCCAATCCAAATGTCAGCTGGGCCTGGAGAGAAATACTCTTTCCAGGGGGTGTGGACAGTGCTGAAAGAAGGGGAAAGCTGAAGGTCTCAGATCCCCAATCCTGGATAATGCACGTTCCTGGGAGGAGCAGGGAGCTGCACCTGCTGATCCTCGTGGATCCCTCCAAACTCGAGGCATTCTGTGGTTCTTTAACAAACTAGCACCTAACTGTGCTTTTGAGTTAACAGGGGAGCACTGGATTTGTACTGCAAAATCCAGTCCCTCTGGAAAAGGGAAATAAAAGAGCCATTACAATGCTTGTCTGAACGATTTGTGTTTGCAGAAAAAGGGTCAGGCTGTTCCAGAGCACTAATGTCAGGTCTGCATATTTAGAGGAAACGTGGAGGAAGTGATTTGGGATGAGAGAGGCCAAACCAACCTCTCTGAGATCCTGCTTAACTTTATAAAGAAGCAGGCACTGTAGGAGTCTTTAGGAGCTGTGGAGATGTTTCAGTGCTGAAGTCAGGGAATCATGGAATGGTTTGGGTTGGGAAGGACCTTAAAGCCCATTTAGTTCAACCTCCCTGCCATGGAACACTTTCCACTATCCCAGGTTGATCCAAGCCCTGTCCAGCCTGGCCTTGGACACTTCCAGGGATCCAGGGGCAGCCACAGCTTCTCTGCCCAACCTGGGCCAGGGCCATACAAATGCCAATTTTTTAATATAATACATTATATGATAGTAAACCAAATTTCTGCCCATATCTAAGCCTGAAAAATAGAAGCAGTTGCCAACTGTGTACTCCTTGGGGGTTCAGTGCCTGATCTACGGAGTTTCCATAATATGTAATTATGGACAGTGATCTGTCATCAGGAACAGACTCTTCCTCTTTTCCATCTCAGGGAATGGTCCCTGCTGTCTGACCTGGCTTTTATGGGTAAAAGTCATAGAATCACAGAATCATTTAGGTTGGAAAAGCCCTCTGAGATCATCCAGTCCAACCATCCCCCAGCACTGCCAAGGCCACCACTGCCCCCTGTCCCCAAGTGCCACATCCACAGGGATTTGAAATCCCTCCAGGGATGGGGACTCTAACACTACCCTGGGCAGCTGTGCCAGGGCTGGACAACCCTTTTGGTGAATAAATTTTCCCAATATCCAACTTAAACCTCCCCTGGCACAGCTGGAGGCCTTTCCCTCTCCTCCTGTCCCTTGTTCCCTGGGAGCAGAGCCTGTTTCCCCCCCTGGCTCCCCCCTCCTGTCAGGGAGTTGTGAAGAGTGAGAAGATCTTTGTGGTGCTTTGCAAAGTCTCTCCTCAAGAGAAACCCCTGTTCAAGCATCCAGAGCCTGGATATCAGTGTTAATCCTGCACTGTGGAGGAAATAAGTCTGTTCTGGTTAATCTTCCTTTAAATGGAAATTTAAACTGTCTTTAAATACACACTGGAAACATGGGAAGGAGGTTTGGAGATGTTTTCTCTTAGGAGAGAGGCTTCCACTGGGATTTGGATTTTAATCTTTGCTTGTGTGCCTTGAAGTTGCTCATTAGGTATTCAGCGTGATAAGATCATAACTGTCAATAAAGTCAGCTTTTATTGTTATTATTATTATAACAACTGCTTTTTTGTTAAATCTGCTGCCTTGCATTTCCCCCAGAAGTCGATAAATCCATTCATCCTTTTTTTTCCCCTCTTTTGATTGAAGAAAACCAACATAGATTTGGGGGAATCAGGAAATGCCTGTGGTTCTGCACCAGGCTATTTGAAAGAATTCAACTACTCTGCACTTTATCTTATTTTTGTCATTTGGAAAAGAAATGGTGATCGATTTTTCTCTGCTGCTTTCAAGGCTTTTCTTTTGGGGGTTTATCCTCTCACTTTAAATATCACCAGGGAGAGGCAACAGTGGCTTTTCCAATCTGATTAAATCTCACTGTTGAGATTTCCTGGGGAAAACTGGGGAGTGTCATATAAGGAAGTCAAACAGGGAACTTTGGAATAGGAGTTTTCCCTGGAAATAGCTGTGTCATTCCTCCCTGGATGTCAGGAGTGCTGGATCATCTCCCATCAATACACCCCTAATATTACGTGAACTTTTCATCCCATTTCTTTATTTCCTGCGGTTTTTCAGCCGCTGTAAAATCACAGAGGAGAAAAATAAAACATCCCTCTCTTTTTCTTTCCTTTTCCAGTTGTTTCCTGTCCTTGCTCCTGGTGGCAGCTGTGGTTTGGAAGATTAAGCAGAGCTGTTGGGCATCACGACGGAGAGAGGTTGGAATTCCAAATGCTGCTCCTTTAATGCCATTGTTATAGTTGTTCTCTCTTACATTTATCCACATGTGCATCCCATTAACCTTCAGCTAAGGCAGAGCTCCACTAATCTATAACTGCTGCTCTTTGGGGGCTTTGGTGTATTTTTGATTGTGGTTTCAGTGACAAATGGGGTTATTTCGGTGTCCTGACGCTGCAGTTTCTGTGAAGCTCCGAAAAAAAAATTAGGGGTGAACGTCCTGAATTCCCACAACTCGTGTTTCTAGACAGCATAAATACAAACCCACATAAATCAGGAGATTCTTTACGTCTGTTTCAAGAGAGGAAACAGAAAATAGGAAGATTTGCTCCAAAATAAAGAGGGCAAATCCCCTTTCTCGAATTAAATCCGATTGAAATATTTCAGGGGGTTGGGTTTTTTTCCCCCTGGAACATTGGGAGCATAAGAAAAAGGTGGGAGAAGCCCCCCAGGATTTGGAAGAAGCTGTAGTTTCCTACTTAAAAAGGCAAATTTCAGAGCCCAAAGCTTTCTCCTCTTCACCTGCCCACGGTGCAGATCAGACTCGTCGTGTTTGCAGCATGTAAAAAAAAAAAAATTGTTCTCTGCACCCTCCAAAATCTGACTGCTCTTTTTTTATCCCTAATTTATTGTTTTCACCACCTTTTTTCCTTGCTTTTCAGTGGAACCCGAGTCCCTGTTCCACCCAAAGCACTCAGGGTGACCGAATTTGGGTGGCAAATGTGTTGTGACACACAGAGTGTGCCCTGATTTCTCGTTTTTAAGCTGAAATCTCTTAGAGCTGTGTTTGTAGAGAAGCACAAGGCAGAAAGCTCCACATTCCTGGGAGTTTCTTTTGCCTCTTCCAAGTGCTAAAACCACGGAAGGAGAGCCCTGTCTAATGTACAGATATATCAGAGATTGGGCTGGGCTGCACCTGGAATTATTTTTAGGAGTTTTGTGTGGTGTTAATCTGGTTATTTCTGTGCAAAATGAGAGAAGCCAGACGTGACTCGAGTGAGTCCATGTGCACTTCCTATATATAATTGTCTATATGAGGCCAGATTCCCTAAGGAATGAGGTGGGATTTTGGGGTGAAATCTGCCCATTCCCATAGTTTTTCCTCCCTGCTGTCCTGCTGACATGAAGCCCTTGCCAGCTGCAGCCACCCAGCCACAGTCCTGTGCTTTATTCCCACGTGGAAGTCGATGGAGAGGGTGTGGGGGATTAATTTTTACAGCTCTGGAATTCTTTGCAAGTGCCTGTTTTCCTGCAGATCTTCCCAGCTCCGTGGCTGGTTGTGCTCTGCAAGTGCAGTGGGGTGAATAAAGTGAATTTATTCCATCTGAGGGTCTCCTCTCTGGGAATAAAGCAGGATGATGATGTCTGATGACTCTTCTCCCTCTCTTCTGCTTCACGTGGTTTTTGCTCTCACCAGTGAACTCGCTGCATAATAAAATCATTGCTTTTCCAAGAGATAACCCTTAATCTTGGAAATAATGGAAGTCTTTGAGCTTTGCTGTATTCTCTGAAGGGAGATAAATTTTTACTGGGGTGGCTGGTTTTTTTTCCTGCTCACTTTCTTGGCAGGAAACTAAGCTGGAGTCAGCATAACATTCCCTGTGGTTCCTGGGGTTAAATGTTATCTAGGAATGTATGAGGAATATAGACTGAGGAGTAAATAGCAGTTAAAGTATTTGAGCAGTGGCCTGAGTGAGAGATGTGTCTATAAATTAAGTTACTTACAGCGTGATGCATGTTTTAAGGGGGAAAAAAAGGCAACATATTGGCATGTTTAAGTCTAAATTCAATTTCCACGTGTGACTGTTTGACAGGCAGTTCATCAGGGTGGTGTTTTCCAGGCACATTCCTGTGTTTTGCTGTTGTTTATCTTGCTCCTTCTTTTTATCTGCTGCCTCTGTCTTGTAGTTCATAGATCTCTGCTGTTCCTGTCCTCTCCTCTTAGAAATACTTGTAAATCTTGAGGCAAGAGTTTTAAATCTTTGCTGGGCCATAATTAAATATATTAATAAAGGCTGTCTCCGGAACTAAAAGTCCACCCAAAAATTCCTTGACTTTTTGTTGTCATCTAACATTATTTTAGAGCTTGCAGGGTTGGGTTTTATTAACACAGATCTTTAGTAAAGCCAAGCAAAGCTCTTTTGAGTAGTTAATGATTAATTAATGGGATTCCCCATCCCTGGAAGTGTTCAAGGGCAGGTTGGATGGAGCTTGGAGCAACCTGGGCTAATGGAAATTGTCCCTGCCCATGGCAGGGGGGTGGAATGAGATGGTCTTGGATGCTCTGGAGCCAGGCTGGGAGAGCTGGGGGGGTTCCCCTGGAGAAGAGAAGGCTCCAGGGAGAGCTGAGAGCCCCTTGCAGGACCTAAAGGGGCTCCAGGAGAGCTGGAGAGGGACCTGGGACGAGGGATGGAGGGACAACACACAGGGAATGACTTTCTGCTGGCAGAGGGCAGGGTTAGATGAGATATTGGGAAGGAATTCCTGGCTGGGAGGATGTTGAGGCCCTGTGCCAGGTGGGGCAGAGAAGCTGTGGCTCTCCCTGGATCTCTGGAAGTGTCCAAGGCCAGGTTGGAGCAATGTGGTCTAGTGGAAGGTGTCCCTGCCCATGGCAGGGGGTGGAATGGGATGGTCTTTAAGGTCCTGTCCAACCCAAACCATTCCATGATTCTGTGAAAAGCTGCAGCCCTGGAGGAAGATCTTTCTGTGCTTTGAGCTGTATTTTTAACAGCAGTCATGTTACAATGGGCTGTGCTGTCATAACTCTGTGCTTGTTGTCTAATCTTAACCCAGAACTGAGTAAAATATGATGCAATCTGCAGGTAATTCCCAACTATCCATCAGCTTTGCTTCCAAAGGGAGCACTGCAAGTGCCCGACTCCTTATCACGAGAAGCTGATTGCTGAGGCTTGTTCTGAGATACGAATAGGGCAGAAAAGGGACTGTGCTGACAGGTTTAGGAGTGAAAATTATTCAAGCAGGATTGCTTGACTCTGCAGAGGGACCTGGACAAGCTGGAGAGTTGGGCTGATTCCAACGGGATGAGGTTCAACCAGGCCAAGGGCCGGGTCCTGCCCTTTGGCCACAACAACCCCCGGCAGCTCCAGGCTGGGCCAGAGGGGCTGGAGAGCAGCCAGGCAGGAAGGGAGCTGGGAGTGGGGATGGACAGGGAGCTGAACAGGAGCCAGAGTGTGCCCAGGGGGACAAGAGGGCCAATGGATCCTGGCCTGGCTCAGGAACAGGGTGGCCAACAGGGCCAGGGAAGTGATTCTGCCCTGGACTCAGCGCTGGTGAGGCCACCCCTGGAGTGCTGTGTCCAGTTCTGGGCCCTCAGCTCAGGAAGGACATGGAGGGGCTGGAGCAGGTCCAGAGGAGAGCAACGAGGCTGGGGAAGGGACTGGAGCACAAGTGCTGTGAGGAGAGGCTGAGGGAGCTGGGGGGGCTCAGCCTGGAGAAGAGGAGGCTCAGGGGAGACCTCCTCACTCTCTGCAACTCCCTGACAGGAGGGGGGAGCCAGGGGGGGGTTGGTCTCTTTTCCCAGGCAACCATCAGCAAGACAAGAGGGCTGGGTCTTGAGCTGTGCCAGGGGAGGTTTAGGTTGGAGATTAGAAAGAATTTCTTTGCAGAGAGGGTGCTCAGCCATTGGAATGGGCTGCCCAGGGAAGTGGCGGATTCTCCATCCCTGGAGGTGTTTAAGGACAGACTGGATGTGGCATCAGTGCCATGGGCTGGGAACCACGGCGGGGTTGGATCAAGGGTTGGACTTGATGATCTCTGAGGTCCCTTCCAACCCAGCTGATTCTATGGTTCTATGATCTATGTGCTGGGAGAAGTCCTAGAGGAAGCTTGGAGAAGCTGTGCTTGGTGTGGTGGGTTAATGGAACCAGAGCAGCAGCATTTGGTTGGAATCAAATCTGCATTCCTTCCTTCCTGCTCCAAATCCAGCATCTCCATCAGGATCTTGTCAAATATATAAAATTCTCCTGACTTCTTATATATAATATAAATACAAATATATATAAAAATATAAAATAAAATACAATGTATATAATCCTGACTTTTTTCCTTTTCTGTGCCTCATCCCATCCACTCCAAGCAGCCCATGCTGGTGCTTCTCAGCCTCCTGCTTAAAGGGAGTGTTGGGTTTGCAAACCTGGTGTAGCCAAGGTGTAGGAAAATGAGTTTGGAGCACTGAGTAAAAAAGTTCAGAGTGTAAACCTTGACCTGGAGTCAAATTGGGAACGATTTGTGTCCTGTCAGACATGGGGGAGATGGGATTGTGAGTCAGGTGTTTATTCCCTTGCCAGTGAGCACCTCATTTAAGTACCTTCTGACATCTTAAAGAGGGAAAATGGGGATAAAAAGGCAGCTTTTATAGGATCAGGTGAATGACAGTAGGAAATGGGGATAGGAAAACTTTCTGTCTTGTCTCTGTAAGATGACATTTTAAAGGTATCAAGGTGGTAATAGAGAATAAATCACCGAGTACGAGGGTGGCATTAGAAATTTAAAGTGCTCCTCTGCTGCTGGGAGTTTTCTGTCCTGTTGTTCTGTTTTAGCATCCAAGTTGTCTTCTCTTCACCCTCAGTCTACTTTTTCTCCTGGAGCAAGGAATAGCTCCTCTTAACTCTGCCAACAAAGGGAGCTCAGCTGGATCACTCCCCGTGCCCTTTTCAGGGTGGGGTGGGAGCATCAACACCAAGCAGGAACAGGGATAACTCACTTTGGGTGTCCAGATCTCAATTTCACCTTTAACATCCATAAAATTGTCTATATTTTGCTTCCTTTCTTGCCAAGACTCTCCAGGACTGAACATTTTTACTCTGCCAACTTATTCAGGAGGGGGTTCGTGTATTGATTTGCTGCAGGGATTATCCTTCCCCTTCCTGACCTCCTTGCTGAAACCTTTTTTTTCCTTCCCAAGTTTGTTCAAAATGCCTCTGTTTTCCCTGGCACCCTCCTCTGTAACATGGAATACCAACCAGGAAGGCAGATTTCCATGGTTTTCCCAGCAGAGATGTTCCAAGGGATGTGTGCTGTGTATTATTTAGTGCCCTGCCTTCATTTTCTTCCCCTTCCTGCTCTCACCTGGCAGTATTTCTTTCATATCTTCTCTCTTAGACTGTGATTTAGGGCATCCTTGGTCGAAGAAAAGGCTTCAAATTGGGGAATATTTTCAAACTGTAACTGTGAATCAGGATTTCCATCGTTGTTTAAAGTCTCCAGCGGTGTTTTGGACCAGGATCTGCTCCAAAGGATCTGGTATCAGCTTTTTGCAGGAATATTAAAAGGTCAGGC